TCAATTAAGGGGGCCTAACAAGGGACGAAAGCGCTTGGGAAATTTTACTATTCTTTTACAGTGGTTGTTTTGCATATTGTATTCACCCCCGTTTACGTGATCTTTTTGCATATATATATAAAATAATAATATAAATATAATATATAAAAAAAAAATAATAAATATATATATAAAATATTATATATATATTATATAAACCTGGAGAGGGTTTTTTGGGGGTCAACGCCCCGCTGCCCGGGTTGAACCCGACATCGTGGGGGGATCAGGTCTGATCAAGCAACGTTTCGGCAGAGCACGAAATCACTATGAACCACAGCCCCGGCTGATCATGTACCCACTTTAGGGCCGTACGGGCCTTTTTAAGACAGCCAGGGGTTTTTTGAACCCCCTTTTGTTTAAAGGGGGGGAGTTAACTCCCCGGGGCCCTGACACTTACTGTGTTGCCCCTTGTTACTCAGCGCCCCGCTTTTCATTGGGAGAATGTTGCATCTTCTGCCGAGTCTTTTGCTTTTGTAGGGGTTATTTTTGTTGGAAGTTTGGTACTAACCCTTTTAGGATTTTCCAAGTGTATATTATCGTGTATCTTTCTCGCCTGCGTTCCAGGGAATATAAATCAAGGAACTTCAACCGTTCTCAGTAATTTAGGTGCTTTATCGTACTTATGTGTGCCGTGAAAGTTCTCTGTACATTTGTTGCATTTGCAATTATTTTCCAGGTATAGGTGTATGCATATGTCTAAAGTCTTAATTAATCGTCAACACTTTGCTTAAACACTGATTATCGCTTTGTACCTACTTATAAATAAGGACCTACGAAATTTTTGGTATTATAATTGCTATTATTAACAAGAGAAACGCCAAACCCATAAAGGTAATCAGGACTGTTGAATGGAAAGTAAGTCAAGTTTAGGCCAAGGAAGGGGAGGATACTTCCAATTTCTCGGATCAAGAGCACTTCACCAGAATCAAGGCCAATTCTTGGTAATACTGTCTATCGGAGTACAGAACCAATATGCATTTATGAAAACTTACAATTCTAAACTGGTACCTCCAGTGGTGCCTTACATCGTTAGCTTGAAATTTTCGTATATAATTAGAGAATACCTCATTTGATTAGCTTTAAATTTTCAACACTGGTGTACTGTAACTAGGGAAAGGTTCATGCAGCTACTGACATGTACAGTAGCCCACTGGTCAGTGTTATATAATAGATCATTCCCTGATTTGATTCTTGGGCGATAACCCCAGAAATCCTTCTCTGGTTGTTTTCAAACTTTCAATACAGATATATCTTAGGTTTGGGAAGTTATGGAAGACATGTAGCCTAAGAAAAACTTCATGAATGATAAGCCTTAAACCTTATAAACCAAGCAACCTTACAAGCTTCTATTTGCATAAATTTTGCATTAGTTAGGGTAGGTCCCTCTGAAAATTAGCATAATTTTTTTTTGGGGGGGATAGCAAATATGAGAAATAATCTTATAAAATACTTCTACGTGTGAACAACAATTGAGTCTTCATATATTTAATTCATAATTTTATGGAGCAACAAACTTGAATTTTGGAAATATTATAGATAAATGCCTGTTCTACAAGATTATATTCACAGAGTCTCGCTATTGTTTATAGTTGTTTACGAATTTTCTAAGAAATTCTTGTTGATTATTATTTAAATTAATTAAGGAGCTAAACCCGAAAGGACTATACAACGCTCCAGGGAGGAATATTCGAGACAATCTTGACACTTTCGGTTCTCCATTTTCGGGATTTTTTTTTACTTTTTAATTGCTAAAAAAATATTATTTTTGGGAAGCTGTATGTTATTTCTTTATTGCGTAATAATGTATATAAAAATCAACTTTTGCTTTTCATGTTTTTATTTCTCAGTTAATATTTATAAAAAAAATCAGGATATACGATTTGAATGACTGTTAATACTCATGAAAAATCATAAGACTGGGCCGTTAGAAAAAAACTAAGCCTAAAGGAGGAGCCTAACCCTCCCCCTCCCTTCTCTCTTTACTAGCTGTCAGCAAGTGGTGGTTCGGGAAGACAAAGTAATCGGTGCTCCTTCCTTCAAATCCGAAGAGCAAAGTGTCAATCTTAGATACATGGACACATATATATATATATATGATTGTTTTGCCCCAACGACCGCACCCTACTCCACAAACTTGATCATTAAGGTATAAGAGGCCACACACTTACATATCTCAAATCCTACTTTACTAACAAACATCAATACGTCTCTATTAAGGACACAACCTCATCAACAAGACCACTGTATACAGGAGTGCCACAGGGAAGTGTCCTTGGTCCCCTGCTCTTCCTCTTTACATCAATGATCTTCCAACTGTATCTTAACACCTTAAAGATGACACGACTTAGGTCATCTCCCACCCTAATCTTGCCTCACTCAACACTAGTGTTAATGAAGAACTAGTAAAAATATCGACCTGGATGACTGCCAATAAACTTACACTAAATATTAACAAAACCTT